ACAAGTGCATAGCAGAGTAACAGCTACTTGGTTGCGTATATCTGTAAAGTCTGCTTGCGGGTGGTAATGATGGCTTTTAAAATTGGCTGATGTTTCAAGCCTGAAATTCTCTCCTGGCGTGGCAGGGAGTAGGGCTGGTCGAAAGCTCAGAACTGCACGCTGCTGCTCCTTCTGGTCCTTGAGAAGCAAACTGACTTGTGCAGTCTTGCTTCATGTCCGTGTCATCATGTTCTGCTGGAGGAGAGAGATGTGAGGGAGAGGAGGGGGTCCTATTCCAGATAATGGTGCAATATTGACCCAGCTTTCCTCCTGTACTGGGTCGTTCTTATAAATTGCCACTTTTCCCTTGTGACATTGTTGAGAAGCAATTGAAGATCGAGGGATTGTTTCACGATTTCCTGCTGCTGAGAATAAATCGCTCTTGTTACAAACTGGAGTGGTTTGAAATTACTCTCCCAGGTGCCGTGTAGTGATGGGGGAGGATGGGGTCAGCTCTGGACATACCATTCACCTTTTCAGCTGTCAAACAGTATGATACATAGGGCTACACTCATTACTGTTCAAGTGTTCTATGTTAGAATTTGATTTCTAAAAGGTTAAAAAAAAAAAAAGCAAAAAAAATGGTGCTAAAACTTCACCCCTGAGCACGCTCAGTGAGACTGGTCATGCAGGCATATAGTGCCAGGCTTTTCAACAATATTGTTTCTTTTTCAAATGTTTGCCCTGTTCTGTGTCTTCAACAGTGTATAGTGTTTTCCTGATTTCCTTTTATTTGAATAGGGGATGACTAAGGGGTGGGGTGGGGAGGGTTAGCTGTCATTTTTAAAGAACAGAATTTTAGGATTGAGTGACTCAGTTGGTTCAAGCCTGAAGTGGGATAGATGGTTTGGGACTGGGGAAGCCTTATCCTCTCCCACTTCCATTTCCCCACTCAGACTGTTTAAAAAAAAAAATAAAAAATAAACAAACAAAAATGCCTCTAAAATATGTACTGTGTTCTTGTCTTGTTGCAGTGAGAAGAGAAGCTAGCAAATCAGAAACACTGATCTGCTGCCTAAGAAACAGGCCCTCTCAGCTTTAGCCCCATAAGGGTCCAGCTATAAAATCAGTTGCAAAGTGTGTCAATAGTTAAGTTAGCTCAGAAAAATGTATGACAAGGACAGGTGGTCTCAGGAAATAATCCCATTTCTAGATCATTACACGGCAGCTATGCATAAGGATGAAAGAGGTGAACCGAAATCAAAACTGTACCTTCCAGTTGCCTCAAGAGGGAGGTGACCAAATTCAATGGCCAATTGATTCAAGAATTTCTGTGTTTACTTGGCTGGGACAGCAAGTTAGAACTACTCCTTCTCAAAGCAGCTGTTACCTGGTTTGATCTGGATTTAACTCATCCTTAGAAGCAAGTGCCTTTTGGTCTAGAAGGGCTTATTCTCGTGACAACCACAACTGAGAAATAATCTCACTGCAGTTATGAATTGTCTTTGTTTTACAGTAACTACAGGAGAATGTCTTTGATCACTGGAGTCTGTCAGTGTTGGAATGTTTCCACTGTGAGGTTCTTAGATTTGGTTTTTTCTTTCCATAATGTTCAACAGTCAATCTCAACTGAGGTCATTTCAGTTTGGGAAGGTTTTATGGTCAAAATATCACATATCTACAATTTATCAGAACAAAGAAAAAAAAATCTGTAAGAAAATCTAAGAGTTCATTTTAACCTTTGCACAGAATAATTTGTTTTCATCGTACATTAATAACATCTGCAATCTTCACTGACTATTAGTGCTGTTTTCTGTTTGTATTCTGGAAACTACATGTTGTTTTGTTGGTTTTTTTTTGGTTAATTTATTTCCTTAAAGCAGGAGACCTCTTTTGACCTTCAGTGCAGAGATGTCAGACCAATTCTTTGTATTACACTTGGTTGCCTCCTACCTATATAATAACTTCTGAGTGTAAATAATTGAACTCTATCCTCTAATGAAGTATTGTAGAGAATAAATCATAATGGATAAAGATTATTTGTCCTGTCCTCTTTCTATGCTTTCTCATGCCTTTCTGAGGGATAAGATGAAATCTTTCTCATCGAACAATGTACTACATGTATGAATACCAAACCTCTACATTACATTAAATGTTCAGAACCAGGGAGATTGCCGGAATGGGATGACAGCTGTCTGAAACTGACCCCTAGGGAACACTGCTTGTTACAGACTTCCAGCTGGATTCTGTGTCCCTAATCACAACCCTCTGGGTTCTGTCTGTTAGCCAGTTTTCCATCCACTTAACTGTCCATTCATCTAACCCACATTTCTTAAGCTTAGCTATGAGGATGCTGTGGGAGACAGTGTCAAAAGCCTTGCTGAAGTCAAGGTAGACAACATCCACCGCCCTCTTCTCATCTATCCAACCAGTCATGACATCATAGAAAGCTATCAGGTTAGTCTGACATGACTTTGCCTTGGTAAATCCATGTTGACTACCTCTGATAGCTTTCTTTTCCTCCATATGCTCTGAGATGACACCCAGGATGAGGCGAATGGCCACACAACTATTGTTACCATGTTACTTAAAACAAGTATGTAACTCTACAAATAGACCAATATCCAGATTATTGAACCATTTTTCCCCTTTCTTATAGTTAGCTAGACTGGTCTTATCAGCTCTTAGACTGCTTTTAATCAGATGAATTCTGACATAAACTATATATTTTAAATCAGGTTGACAGTATGTTTAGATGTCCTTATATATGTAGTTTAAAACGTAGCAGCTCGTGCGAGTTTTGCATTTAGAGGCTTATTATCACTTTATTAATGGGTATTACTATATATTGCTCATATATTTTCACTCAATATTGGTTTGGATCTATAATTTTAAATTGAGTAAAAATAAAGCTAAAATGGTATAAAAACCCAAACTTGAAGAGTTATACTCTGTAAGAACACAGATGAAAAAGCAGGTTTGTCTTGTGCAATAATGGCTATTATGGCACATGGTATTCTGAGCAAGTGATGTTGTATCACCCTATTTGACCTATTCCTGTAACATGCTAGAAATGTTGATGATAATGAAAACAGATTAAGGTTTCAACAACCTAATCTTAACACTTTTAATCCATCAAATCATTTTCAATTATTTTTAAATTGGGAGTTTTGACACTCCACTCAAAATACATAGTAACTGCTAGAAAGCTTAAAAACTGCTAGGAAGATTACATTTCTTCTGCTGGTGAATTAAAAGGAAAGCATATCACAAAGTATGGTTATATTAATAATACAGCACCTTTGTTATTACTTCTTTCTATGTTTTATTACACAGAGGTATTTAGCTAGGTTTTGGGTTGTTTTTTTTTTTTAAGATCTGTGTTGGTGCACTTCGTTGTGGGTCTGTTTTTAAATTATGGCAGTATAGAAATTACCAAAGAAATTGTCTGTCTAACAATCCACTAATTACACGTGTCCAGCAAGGGTTGATACTTTTTGCCCTGGACTATGAAACAGTAGAGGCTCTGTTCATGATAAATTAGATTTGGCCGAATCTTTTCTTTTTAATTAGTTCATTTTAGGATATGACCAGTAAACATGCCTGAAACTTCCTGTAGTCATTCACTTTAATCTAGCTCATCTTTTTTCATGCACATTTTCCAATTGGTAAAAGCTGGAGCACTCAGCAAGGAAGAAGCCAGTGCATTTTAAAAATAACAAAGGAAAAGCCAGGTACTCTGCTATGTTTGGTTTGCTGCAGTAGCTGAACAGTATTTACTGTGGTTTTATAAGTGCATTTTTTAAATTATTTTAAAAAAATGGGGGGGGAGCAGGTTACATTCAGAAATGCTCTTACTTTTTTCGTATGAGACCTTAACCAAACCCATCAGTGACAATGAACCTTTATCTTTCATGATAGCCTCTTTAGATGTACCTATAAGGTCTTGCAAGTATCTGGCTTTCTCTTAATTGTTTTAGTTTTTGTATACTTAAGTAGAAGGGATCCTTGGGGAAAAACAAAAGTGAAATTAATAACTTAAACCTCTGCAAGCTACCTCCTGTTCTGTGAATCATGATGTTCTGAGTAGATGGGTCACTCGAGAAGCCATCGGGATTCCACGTGATTTTAAAGGCTTCTCTCATCAATCTGTCACGGATTTCCTTGTTTTCTTGTAAACCTAATTGAAGTTGTTTAATTTGCCAGATGTTGCCTCAGATATTTTCAGTCCTTCTTCCTGAGCGTCTTTCTGCTTGTACCACTTCAGAAATTAGTTTTCCATCAATTTCTCTGCCATGCTTGTTTACCAGGTAATAAACGTTAAAGGAACTGCGATCTGACCCCTTCATATTCGTATAGTTTATTCTGGATGTGTTCCTTTTCCTGGAATGTGGGAAAGGATTCACCTAGGTATGGATGCAAGTTCGTGAGAAGCGGCATGGTTTCATCATAAATCCTCCAACAGTCTATTTTTGCCTTTCCTTAAGGGGACAGGATAACACAGTAAGGTCTGGTAAGATGATTACTTTAAGAGTCTTAGGCTGGTTAGGCACTTACATGTGATCTCTCCGGGGGAAATACAACTCTTTAAGTTAATTTCACTGGCAGCCGTCCCATGACATAGCATCAAGACTATAATAATTTTCAGCCTGCTTAGGACTTTTAGGGGGTCTACAGAATTCCGTCGGGATAGCCTGGAAAAGCAACTGCCTTTTCAAAGTGGATCATTAATGGTATCGACACTCCTCCCTCGCAGACTGAGGTATAATAATCACAGTGAGTCAGACAGATATTCTGGTAGAGTTTAGAGCTTTCCTATGTTTGCTACCTAGCCGGAGGACGCTCTGGTGGCAACACGGAGTAGGCCGCAGCTCCCTGATCCGCTTCTGGAGGGAAGCCAGAGGGGGCGAAGACGCGTCTGCCGCCTCGCTGCCCCCCCGGTGCGGCTGTGCCGAGCCCGGTGAGGGCGGAACGGCGCAGGTTTGAGCCCTGGAGCCGAGGGGACGCTCCGTCCCTCCCGCCTCCTCGCAGCGGCGGGGCCGAGGCGGCGCCGCGCTTCCGGCCGGTGGGGGCTTCCGCTGCCGGCGGCTGAGGCGATGGCGGCGGGAGGCAGCGACCCGCGGACGGCGGACGTGGAGGAGGACGCCTCGCAGCTCGTCTTCCCCAAAGGTGGGCGCCGGGGGGGAGCGGCGAGGGGGCCGGGCGGCGGTTGGAGGCCTCCCCTCAGTGGAGCTCTCCCCTCAGTGGAGCTCTCCCCTCAGTGTGGCGGCCGCCGCCTTCAGAGGCGGGAAGGAGCTTTCCCCTCAGGGCGCCTCTGAGGGAAGGAGCTCTCCCCTCAGGGCGGCTCAGCCCCCCGCACTCCCCCCCACCAGCCTCAGACACACCGGGAACCGAGCCCCGGCTGTTTAAAATGTGGGATAATACACGGTTTGTGTACATTTAAGGACGCCCTGATTGCCAAGGTGCGACGGTTCCTACGTGGAGCACTACGTGTGCGCAGGAATAATAATTAAAAATAAAATTCACATCAGGTTGTAGCGAAAAAAAAATCTTGGTTTTTGATATAACCGTTACTTTTTCATTGATTTCTCTTGACATTAAGGTAGTGTGGCATTTTAGGAAACAGGCTGTCCAGAGCCTGAGTTGTAACTAGGGACGCTAACACTCTTGTGTATTTTTTTTTCAGAAAACTATTCAGTATAAATTTTAGAGCTGTGTTAATTCCTCAGAGCTGTCCTGAAAGAGGGGGAGAGGAGGGGAGGAGGTGGATATTGCCACATTTTTTTACAAAAAGCATAGTCTTTAACGACTGCGTTTTGGGTGTTTTTACATTAAAATCTGTAGTCTAACCCATGTTCAGCCCAAGTTGCTTTATCACTCCATTCAAACTTTTTTCTAGTAATAAAATTTTAGAGGGTCAGTTCACCTTTCAAGTAAATGAAGCCTTTTTAAAAACATTCAGCAGCATCCACGTGTGTTTTAAGAACTCAGAGGCTTCCAAAGACCATGGATGTCTCTTCTGAATGTTTTGAACATTGCAGTTCTACATATTTTTTTCTAAAGTCATACATGACTTAAGTTCTGCCAAAAATGGGGAAAGAAAACATGCTGCAAAAAATGTGACAAATCAGAAGGTTGGGGCTGCAAATATAAAATGTGTGGTCAAAAAGAGAAAGACGTTGGATTTTCACCCAAACTGGTGTGATTTTTATCGGCATTTTCAGTATGAAATGCTGCACAATCACTGGTGAATGGGCTTGCACACATTGTTCATTTCCTTCTTGCCCAAAGCCAATTTACATTTAGAAATTTAAATTTAGAAAACTTCTGTAAGTGGAATTTCTCATCCATGCTTTTTTTTTTTTTTTTTTTTTTTTTTTTTTTTGTGTGTGCTGACGTTTATTCATTCAACTGTAGAATTTGAAACTGCAGAAACTCTTCTAAATTCAGAGGTACATATGCTTCTCGAGCATCGTAAGCAACAGAACGAGAGCGCAGAAGATGAGCAGGAGCTTTCGGAAGTCTTCATGAAAACCTTGAACTACACAGCGCGCTTCAGCCGCTTCAAAAACCGGGAAACCATTGCCAGCGTCCGGAGGTGAGTGGGAAAGTCAAGGTATAAGACTCTACTGGAGAACCTGGTGTGTAATATTGATTTTGATTTATGAAAGTACAGTTTAGTGGTGTTTCCTGATTTGTACTATAATTCTGAATCTTGTCTTTCTGAAGAGGTGAGAAATTTGATTGTAATTCTTCGTGGAGGGTTGTACTTTGTCTAGGCCAAGCCTTCTGAGCTGCTTTGTTTTCAGTATTTAAATGACACCTGATTGCAGTAAATGGGAGGATTTTCTAGACTTTATAGAGTAATTCTGAGGAAGTGGAGTTAACAGATGTGGCTTTTTTTTTTTCCCTCTGTGCAGTTATATAATTAGTCTTTCTTCCTGAAAGAACATTTAATTTGGTGCCAAAAGCAGAGTGGGGAAAAAAAAAAAAGCTATTTGGTTTAGGTTTTGCCCTTTTCTATTTTTAGCTTACTTGTAATTTCATCAAATTGTTGTCTTTCCTTACAGTTTGCTACTCCAGAAAAAGCTCCATAAATTTGAGCTGGCGTGTTTGGCGAACTTGTGTCCCGAGACAGCTGAGGAAGCCAAAGCCTTGATTCCTAGGTGAGCATTTCCATGTCATGAAAGGACTGCTTTGTACTTCCCTGTGGTCTGAGGCCAGCTATGGGCAGATGCCCTCTCCAATCCAGCTCTGTTAATGGAAAACCTACCCACTGATCCGACAGTGAGGCCATCTTTGTACGTGTCCCTAATGACACTTCTAACGTTTACTGGATTAAGTGTAAACCATAGAAACATAGGATCATAGAATGGTTAGAGTTGGAAGGGATCTTAAAGATCATTCATTGAGTTCCAACCCCCCTGCCCTGGGCAGGGACACCTCCCACCAGACCAGGTTGCTCAAAGCCCCATCTAGCCTGGCCTTGGACACCTCCAGGGATGGGGCATCCACAGCTTCTCTGGGCAACCTGGGCCAGGGGCTCACAGCAAATAATTTCTTTCTAGTATCTAGTATAAATTTCCCCTCTTTCAGTTTAAAACTACATCCTCCTATTACAACACTCCCTGACAAAGAGTCCCTCCCCAGCTCTCCTGTAGGTCCCCTTCAGCTACTGGAAGGCTGCTATAAGGTCTCCCTCGAGCCTTGTCTTCTGCGGGCTGAATAACCCCAGCTCTCTCAGCCTGTCCTCTCAGCAGAGGTGCTCCATCCTTCTGATCATCTTCGTGGCCCTCTGCTGGACCTGTTCCAACAGGTCCATGTCCTTCCTGTGCTGAGGGCTCCAAACCTGGACACATTGCTCCAGGTGGGATCTCACCAGAGCAGAGCAGAGGGGCAGAATCACCTCCTACGACCTGCTGGCCACGCTTCTTTTAATGCAGCCCAGGATGCGGTTGGCTTTCTGGGCTGCCAGCGTGCGCTGCTGGCTCATGTGGAGCTTCTCATCCACGAGCACTCCCAAAGTCCCTAAACAGCTTAAACTGGGGGTCTTAGCCCACCTAGCTGCGTTTGGGGTTTTCTGGGGGGTTTGTTTTCTGTTGGAGCAGATGACATCACTCCTGTGACGAACTGTTTTGTGGATGAAGTATGGGGGAGCAGTAACTTCATCTCTTGATTTGTTACCTCATGGCCTGAGGTAGAGGAGAGAACAAAACACCCATCTGAATTACATTTTTTTCCTTGTACGCTAAGATTTCATACCAAGGCTGGGCTGGCTTATGAGAATAAGCCTATACGGACTTCATTGAGAGGTCTATTTAAACCTGCACCTGCCTTGCCTTTTTGATAAAACGGTTTGAAATTATTCAGCAGGAGGTTCTGGGAAGAAGGCAGTTTTATCTTTTAAAAAGGAGGCACTTCATGGGGATTAGAGGGATATTTGTACAGTGATGTGACAGGCGGTCCCTGGTGGCACGGTGCAGGTGGGCGATGGTGGTGTTGAGACCTACAGGGAGAGAATTAGGGCTGTCTGAAATGAGTCCGGGGAGAGGGGGATGATTTCTAAAACCTTTAACATACCCTCGTTGTTCATATCTTGCAGCCTGGAGGGCCGATTTGAAGATGAGGAATTACAGCAGATTCTTGACGACATTCAGACGAAACGCAGCTTCCAGTACTAACCCTCAACTTCCTTTATTCTGACCAGAAAAACCTGGGGACTGTGACCGTTTCTCAGCCCTCTGGGCCACTCCAGCTCCTGGCTTTGGCTGGGGGAGCTGTAGGTACAAGGTACCCCAGTGCTGTGTCACCCACGGGTGGGTTCAGGCTGGAGAGCAGTGTGGTCCTTCTTGTTTCTTCCACGTGTATGGTGGTAAGGACACCTGTGTTGTCAGAGCTGAAGAACCCAAAAAGCCTTTTCCCAGTGGATCAAGTATTTGTTTCTTCCAAATCCCTCTCCCTGGTTTGGGAATTTTCAATGTGTTTCTGTTGTGACTTCTTTTTTTTGTTGGTTTTTTTTTGGGGGGGGGGGAAATTCTAAAGGAGATGGAGAAACTTGTTCTTGACTCTTGGAAAGTTTAGTCATGGGTGGCATACATTTGTGGTGGTTTTCTTGCTTTTTTTTTATTGCGTGACGAGGACAGCAGATTTTTACACCTTCAATAATTTTCTAGTCTTGTTTAGTGTAAATAAAAATATTTCTAATTAAAGCTGTGTGTTTTATAAACGTTAGGTGCATATTATGGTTTTATTAATGAGGACCTTTTTGATAAACGGATCCTGTTACGATTAACCTCTGTTGGAGATCTGGGGACTCCCAAGTGTGTAATAACACAATTTAGGACACAGTCAAAGGCGTTATTAACTATAATCATAGTGAGAGAACATTTGGGCAGCATTTCCCTCTCTGCTCCCCTGTTCTCTGCCAAGTGATTGCAGAGACCCACCCTATATACTGTTCCAGAAAAGAAATAAGGGTTTCACCGCTGTTGCAAGGGGAGAGAAAGGAGGCATTATTTCAGCTCTTACTGGAAACTGGATGTTGCTTCTGTGCTGGAAGACCGAGCTGTTTTATGACAACTCAGCTGAGGCACGTTGTCTCACTGCAAAAACAATTTATTTCTGTGCTTCAGTGGCATCATGCCTCCTGCAAGCCAGTGAGCCCAGACATGCCTTTCCAATTAACCACAGTAACTTTAAACAGATCAGAATAATTTTAACTAAAGATAAAGCAAGGTCAATCTTTGTTTTATAGTGCTCAGTGGCCCCTTGCGATACAGGAATTCCTTTCCAGTAGCTGCTCCCACTGTAACTCAGTTTGCCCTACAAAATGTTTCTTTTAAGACATTTTAAATACACAGGCTCCCTTAATTTTATTAAAAAGCCCAATGTTCTAGACCTCTTTACCCACAGCTCTAGGTAAAAGGACATAACAATGATTATAATCGGGAGGCATTAGTACTTGTTGATACCTTTGTAAACTAAGACTCACAGTCTAACAGTCTTAGTGATAGGACAGTGGTCTCAGATGTGCACCATCCGCCACAAATACGTAATTGTAAGCCATTGACATTAGTTGTTCTTGATTGTTGTGCCTTGAAACCCGGCAATTAGGTCGAGGAAAGAGGAACCAAATTCCAGGGGGAATTGCGTGAGGTGTAGCGGAGTATTAATACGAAGCGAGGCAATATTTTGCCCAACTGTGGGGACTACCCATTTCAGAGCAGCTGGAGCCAGCAGAGACCTTGCTGCCTCCAGCGTCCTCAAAACTCAAGCCCAGCGGGGGCCGGGTGCGCAGCTTCCCTGCCCCGGCTTGAATTTTGGTCATGGTTCTGCCTCAAGAAAAGGCAAAGAGCGAGAGGCCGGGGTCCACTCCCCTCAGCGCCATCATGGCGACCCCTCCCCTCAGACCCGCCGCCCCTCAGCGCGCACGCGCGCACCTCTTGGCGCCTACCAGGGGTCGGGGGGCGGGGCTTCTGTCAGCGCAGGCGCCAGTGGGGAGGCTCGAGGAAGACGCGCGCGCCTTGTCCCGTACGCCTGCGCACTGGGGGCCGGGAAGGGAGGGGGCCATCTGCCCGCGCCGCTGAGCGTGGTGACGTAGGGTGCGTGCGCCGCCCGGTCGCTGGTGGGGGAAGGAAGATGGCGGCCGGCCGCGGCGGGGGCTCGTGAGGCGGCGGCTTCCGGGGCCGGCGGGACGAGGCGAAGTGGCGAAGCGACAGGGTGCGGAGTCGGGGTACGAGAGAGGGGCGGGACGGTGAGTACGGTTCGGTGCTGGGGCGCTGGTGGGGCGGGCACGGGGGTGAGCAGCCTGGGAAGTGCGGCTGCCTCCGCCATTTTTAGGCCGCGGTCCAGAAGCCGTGTGGCTGGGGCCGGGAAGAGGTTGAGTCCCGGCGCGGCCCGCCAACGGCCGGGGGTGGGTTCGGCTGTGAGGTGCCGCGGGGCTGCCCGGGCTGGGGCGTTCGCAGGAGCGTGGGGCCCAGGCCCGTCCGCGGGATGAGGGGAGCGCAGGGCCCGGCTCCGCGGCGCTGGGCCCGCGGGATGGGGTGTGCTGGAGGGCTGAGGTGGTGGCCAGAGCTAGGGCTGAGAGCAGGCAGATGGTCCTCTTTCCTGCCTGCTGCACAGTTGTCTGGTGGTGGCCTCGCCCGAGTCTCTCATTCCTGTTCTTATCTATTTTTTTTTCTATTACTTTTTTTTTTACAATATTATTTTCTCTACCTTGGATTTGAGTGGAGATCTGGTTGTGACTGCTAAAAGATACGGCTTGGGAAGCCCTGGCCATTATGGGTAGATACAGCCACGTGCAGCAGGCTTTTGCTTATTCTGGAATAAGTGGATGAACTTAATGATGATAGGGTGGCACATTCAACTGGTAGTGACTTGCCACTCTACTTATTGCATGGATAGCAAACCTAGGTGACCTGTTAAATCTGAATAAATACATCAGCATTTTTTTGTTGTAAAGAAGTGATTACACTTCTTGCCTCCTTGAAGATGGATATTACTTGTTTCTTGCTGACTGTTAACTGCTTTATTATGTGTAGATAGCTGTATGGCTTCAGATACAGTATTTTGAAATATTGTTACACGTTTGAGCACATTTCTCTGTTTTACAAAAGTTGTCATAGGTAAGTAGTTCTATTCTGTACTGGTTTTGTACTTCGTTATATCCTTAATTGTAATTTGTGAGTAGCATTTGGGAATCTGCCTTCCTATGTAGACATTAGTCCCTCATCCTTCTCCTTGCAAGAGATTCTTATCCTTTTATACTTTTCCTGACTCAAATTATTTTATCATTCCTTTAAGAAAGGCAGCACTACGTGCATATTTGTCAGAAAGTTATAGTATACAAAAAAAAAATATTTTGGGCTTCCCTCTTCCTGAATTCCTTATTAACTAAATTGACCTTTACTTCCCAACAGTTTGCTGTAGTAGTCTGCTATCATCTTTAGTATAAGACTATGTAACCATAAAACATTTTTGAAAGTCTGGTTCTTAACATCTTGTTCAGTTGTGCTGTAGTATTTTTAATGGGGAGATTGGAAAATGTAGTTAAAAGACTTCTCATTTGAACACTCTCAGCATGGTAAGAAAAATCTGGCATGTTTTAGATTGCTTTGCTCTTAGCATTTTTTGAGTTTTCTGCTCAACTTGCTCTACAGTCTGGAAGGTAAGATTTACACGACCATCCTGCCTTTGGTTGTTTCAGAAGTGGATGGAACTATCAGATAATATATTAAGATATATAATTATAATATATATCAGATAATATTAAGAACATCAATTTTGAGAAATAAGTAGCGTAGGACAGGGAGAAAAACAAATCTTGAGCTGCAGAGAATGTTAGGTGCCAGTAACTAGCGTACGTTTAGTACTCCTAGAGTTGCTAAAACCTTTTAAATTAAATGTCAGTCACTATAAACAGTTAAAGTCCTTCAGTGTTACTTGGAGTGTTGGTCCTCTGTTGAATCCTTGCAGCAGAAAATATTAGACTGTGGGGACCATTGGAACTGAAAATTTCAGTTTTGGATTCCTCTTAGCAGCAGAGGTGGTTAGCACAGGAAGTAGTAACACAGTGATCCTAAATTGCCCTTGAAATAGGGGTTCTAGAAATACCACCTTTGGCTGCAGCAAAAAGAGACATTGATCTGAGGAGGTGATGAGAAATCTGCTGGAGATGAGAACAAAAAAGAAGCTGTCTTGGTCGTCTGCCTCACCTGAAAAAAAGATGTCATGGAGAAGACTTTTGGTTTAGAAGGGATATGAAAGGAGTGCACTTTAACTTTTTGCTCAGATGGTTCCATGTAAAATATTTCACTTTTTGCTTCTGCTAGCCATGGGGTTGATATCTAGGGAATTTCCATAGTTGATTCACTAACACTGGAAATTAAAATAATTTTAGCCTTGCTCAGGTGTTACTCTAACTTATAATCTAGAAAACTACTCATATCTTTGTGGATGAAAGTTGTAAAAACAAGCTGAAAGCTATCTGTAGTGTGTTTGTGAATATTACAAAACTTCTTTATTTGCTGTATTTTCATTCTGGATACTGTATTGTTTACTTATCGAAAGTTTTATACAAAGTAAAAATACAGATATGCAGGTTTGGATGGTATAGTTAATGAAGAAATGTCACGGTCAGTTAAAATGAGCATTGTTAGAGCTTAATGGTGGAGAGGAGATATGGTAGAGAGCTTTCAAAAGATTAAAAATTTAAAATTTAAAACCTTGGTTTTCTTCTTTTATAGAGAATCTCTGAAAGTAAGAGCAGAGAAGTAAAGTTTTTGATAGCTGAATAGTTCTTTGGTGCTTGTATTTTGTTATTATTCATTTTGCTTCAAATTTAGGGCGTCCATGATCCCGTATTTTTAAAATGGTGCTAAACTTACCAGCAATTCTTGTTGGCTAGTGTTTTAAAAACCTACTCAGGCTTTAATAGAATGTCGTTTCTGGTTCAACCAGCTCTCTGCGTTCAGGCTGGGTGTACCAACTGTTCTGTTGTGAAACTGGAAATGTGATATGAAGTATGTATTTGCCAGGAAAGAAAGTAAGTTAGTTTCTCTTATGTTGTGCAATAGTACTTTTGATAACACGTTTAGTATAAAGACAGCGTGTGTACGGTGACGTGAAATGCTGGTTAAAACTGTTCCTTGGCTTGTGGCAATGTGGATTACAGCTTACAGTGGGAAAAGGTAGGGCCTGGATGCATTATAGCATGGTAGAAGCCTGTGTTTGTGTGGAGGTTGTAATTAGGAAAGTAGCTAAGTATTCCACCCCTTCATTGTTTGCTTATTTTATAAGGTTTTATTTCAAGCTTCTTTGCCATAGCTAAAGAAGATTTACAAGAGAAAAAAAAAGAATATAAGGTTTTATTTCAAGCTTCTTTGCCATGGCTAAAGAAGATTTAAAAGAGAAAAAAAAGGCACCAAAAAACCTAACCCAAAAAGAAACATGAAAGCTGTAGTAGTTTATAATAGCTTAAGCACAAGTCAGAACATACTAATTTAAATCTGCTACTGACTTGATACTTTCCCTTGAGCCATTATTCTTCTTCCATACAGTTCCTTCTTGTTTGTTTAGAGTGATCACAGTTATGATTTGTAAGGCATTCTCTGAATGTTGAGGGATACTAGAGACCAAATAATTTTACACTTTGAAACTCAGCTAACTGGTGTTGTTCCTAATTTACATCAGCACCAAATTATAAAATTGGAGAAGTGTGATTCTGTGTAGCAAGAATGGTTGTGATAAACAGATCCAAATTTATCTAGGAAACTATATACTTGGTTTTCACTTGAGGGGGGAAAAAAAACCCAACAAACTCTCTTCATTAAGATACCTTGTTGAACAAAAAGAGTAAGTGCCAACTTCTAGAATATGAGATAATCTTCAATGCTGAAACCCCATATAAATATATTTTAAGGACTGAAAAATGTACCAAGTGTAATAATAGTGAATTGTACTGAGAAAGTTGCAATGAAGTTTTATCAGGAATTGGGAGTTCTGTTCTAAGCAGTTTCATGAACCGTTGCTTTTATCACAATTTCCCTCAGCTGTAGGAAGAAAAGACTTGTTTTACAGTAGCAAACTTTGCAGTTGATGAACCCCGATAAAAGTTTTGTGTTGTATACAGTTACATGGAGATGTTCTACACATATATAGAATATAAGAAGTATAAGCAGTTTTTCACATTCTTCAGACAAATAAAACATCTCTTCCACTCTGGGCACTTACGTACTGAAACAAGTAACTGTGGTGCATTTTTTTCCTATCCTAAACTCCTAAAAAAGGAGATAAAAGTTTATCTTCAGTTTCATTTTTCATGTAAATAGGATTTTTTTCCCATGCACTATTGATATCCCAACACTTCTAATTTTCTCTTTACTCTTAGTTAGTGAGTTAATTTTGGTGCAAGGAACAACAACATGCTTGTTATGAGCTTGTTGCTGTTATTTAATGAAATGTGCTGGTTCAAAGAAATAAATCACATTAACTTTTGAAGCTTTGCAAATGTTATCAGTGGAGTTGTGAACTTGGTGTAACCTCGAATTTTTAGCTCTTTTAAATAATTACAATCATCATATTCTGCTGCATGTCTTCTCTTGGGACTAGAGTCCATAAAATTGAGCAGGCAGCTGTACGGGGGGGCCCTTTCTGTGAGCAAAAAAGCCTGTGTGTGTTTGTTTTTAATCTGGCTGCTCAGTTTTCTGGTTTGGGCTGTGTCTTGGAAACAGTAGTTCTGGAACCAGTGAGGGGCAGGGAGAGAGGAGGCGACAGGAGCTACCTGTGTCTGCCACAGCATTGATTTATGCTGCACTGAGTGACTCTAACCACGTGTTGAGAGGCAGTATGCTCTGTTCTTTGTTAATATAGCAGATATATTGGCTCTTTAAAAAATACATCCCTAAATGTTTGTCATGTTTATTTAGTAGCAAGTTTTAATTTAAAGCAGTTGGTCGTGAAGCTTGAATTTAGATTGCTCTTAATTGCTCACCTGTGACTTTACCCAAAAGTGGGAAACCCTGAGTTGAACAGTGTGCCAGGATCGGCCAAAAGTAGCTTTGCAAGGAGAGGTATAGATGTACTGACACGGATAAATTCTGTATATTAGTGTTTTATGTACTTCAAGATGAGCACACAGATACTTGAAATAATCCAAGTTTCTTGACTTTATTTTAAAATAATTTTTCCAATTCCAAAAGATTATATTAATGATCTTTTTTTTTAAAGGGAGGCCAGAGCCTAGGTAACAAGGAG